CTTTCATTGTTAGTAAAATAGGATCCTCCCGTCGTCACAAATAAAAAGTGTAACCCCCCAAAATAAATTATCTCCTCAAATTTTGGACGGAGTTCCCCCACCCCTTCACTCCCAAACAATTTCTCATCGTCCAACGCAAATTGAATGTCGCGAGTCGATGAATATCTTCTCATTCATCTTCTCATATTCGTTAAAATGCCTTTTGTCATTCCAATGTCTCAGAAGTATTTGAGCATTCAGGCAAGACAGTCCCCTAATGAAAGAAGAAAATAATTTCAAAATGACTCATGCACGTTTGTATACCTATTTTAAAAGCCCTGTACTACGTATGCTAATGCATTATTTACATGCGCGATCCAAAGCTCTCGGACTATTCACGAGGGACGGCAGGTGCTCGCGCACGGGTTGGTGAGTTATACAGCCACGGTTTTCTGTGTATAACTCTTTTCCCTTTCCCTCTCCCTACGTCCCGCAACGTTTTTACGTGAAAAACAGTGTCTTTGTTTCTTCTCCCTTATTTACACCCTCCAAACAGTGATTTTTTACGATTTTAATCGTCCACTGTACCACAGAGATGATAATCCAGCAGTGTCGTAGCTTATGCACCCAAAATTTTTGCTTTCCAAACTCCAGCTAATCTCGACGATAATTATTCATTGAGTTATAAGTTAAAAATGAAGGATTAGTGTAATCCGTTGAGAGCTATTTCCATTCGTTGAAATTTTAATGCCTCAAAAATTCAGCGAAATCGACGGGAAAATTACGGAATATCAAGTATGAAGAAAAATGTTTTGCACTGATAGAACGGTTTAGTCGAACCAAACGAGAGTTTTTAACTATTACCACGATTCGTTAACTATTAACGAATCGCGGTCACAGTTAAGAAGCTTCAGTTGGTGCAACTGAATTGTTCCACCTTTTCTATCAGTGTGAGAGGATAACTTTGTTTTATTGTGTATTTTTATAATGGGAATATTTCACTCGAATATTTATGAACATGAAAATGAATTCATGGAGTTTTTTTCAGAAATATAAAGGTGATTGATAGATTGTGGAATTTGTTGTTGAATAACTATCGATCGCATTCAATGATTAGTTCACTGATAGAACGGTTTAGTCGAACCAAACGAGACTTTTTAACTATTACCACGATTCGTTAACTATCAACGAGTCGCGGTAACAGTTAAGAAGCCTCGTTTGATGCAACTGAATCGTTCCACCTTTTCTATCAGTGTTGACAGGAATTTTTTTTATGGTCACAACAAAAATTTAATTTTTGTGGAATATGTTGAATTTTCTTCTATCGATTAATTTGTTGATTAATTTCCCTCAAAAAAATCTGTTGCACTCCATAAAATATTCCCACGTGGAACATATCGATACAGATAAAAAAATATGCTTTTACGTTAAATATTTTTGGCGAGAACGTCCGGTATATTTTTGGATATTTTTAAAAAAATTTGAAAAATGCATAATTTGATGAAATAATGAAAACCGTAGGTTTCACTCCAATTATTCTATACAAACCCATAGATCTCTTCGGAAAACTCAGTTAAATATTATAGAATCTGGAATGAATTGAAAATTCAACGCAATTTTGTACTGGCATTCATATTTTGAGTGAAAAATTCGAGTGAGTTGGTGAATTCTCGTCGTCCTGTTGCCCAGACATTTCAAATTTCACTAGAATTTCAAGATTTTTCTCCTCAATTCCATTTCCCCACAAAGAATTCAAATAATCGTATTTAAAATCCCCCACTTGCAATCTTAAAATCCGAAAAAAAACCTGTGCACACTTATTTACATTTATAAACCTTCATGACGAGATAAAACCGAATAATATCACCACAATGAACTCCCCAAAATTATCGCCATCATCATAAAACGCACCTCAACATGAAATAAAACGCAAAAAATAGTTTGAACAAAAAATTTATTCACCCCGCCAGAAATGTTATTTCAATTCCCGTATTTCTTCCCGGACGAATAAAAAAAATGTGATTTAGTTCGAAGCCATCGCCGAACCGCTAATTTTCCAGGAGTCCTCTGTACTCCAGCCTGCAGCACCGGTTTGGATCTCTCGACGTCTTTAATTTCTCCATCAGCTCCGTCTCTCTCCGCCTTTCTCTCTCCTCCAATTTCCCTCGTTTGCACCTGCCACTGCCAAGCAGCCTCCCCAGATCCCGGCAGCCCATCCTGTCCAAGAAACCTCAACCTTCCCCCCTTCATCCGTCCCCACACCTTCGAAATTCCCTTCACTTGACTCGAAAATTCCAACGTTTGAGCCGAGACGAGAGTGAATTCTCCCTCAATCTACGAGGGTACGAAGGTCTTCAAAGCATCACGAGTTACACAGCAAATCGTTCCTAAACATCAGATGTATGCAAATGAGAGGGAATTGGAGTGAAATTAACGAGTCGAGGATACGTGCTTTTGATGTCAGTACGAGTCAAGCGGAGAACAAATAGGCATGAGCATTCGTCACGAGACATGTGGAAAAACTGGGAACTCAAACAATCTGCATTCGTCAACACATTTGGTTTTGATAAATGCAGATTTTTTCAGTCCATTCATGCTTCAGGGATTTTTACTTTGGGAGAAAAGGTAAAACGGAGGAATGAATTTTACGGTATTTATTATAATCATCCAGATTTTTCGTACGTAGAGGGCACGAAACTCTTGGACACTTGACTTTTTTAAGAATTTTAGTAACTTATTGAGTTTTGATAGAACTGAATTGTGATGACGATTATGACAATCCTAAGCTGAACTTAAATCATAGGAAAAACGTGTCTGAATGTCATGCAGCTTTTGTAGACATTTTTCAGACACTAAAAAACGACAGAATAAAATGAAAATTTGTCTGAATTCCAAACATAAATCAAGACGTTTAGGCGCCTATTCGTCTGAAATTCAGAAAAATTTTCATTTCATTGAAACGTTGTTTAGTGTCTGAAAAATGTCTACAAAAAGTGTGTGAAATCCAGACATTCGTTTTTGCTGTGATGATCAATTTGTTTCTGAGTTATAAAAATTGGAGGAAAAGTAAGAAGAGTTTATTTCGCCTCACCTACCGCTAATACTAATTGATGGATAAGGCTGGTTTAAAGCTCCATAAAATAATGAATTCCGTAATGAAATTTCATTTAAAATTTGGTTGAATTGATCGATCAAGAAGTATCGACGACTCCTTATAAACCAAGGGTATTTCAATGTTCTTTATAAAAAAATGGTATCTCAAAATTCATGTGAAAGGTTGTTGTTCACATCCATTTCTAAGTCTGACGGAGCCCGCAAATCATTTTATTTCTGTTCCAATGGGAACTACGTCATGTTATTTGTACTTTTTGATGCATTTATACAGCTGTCAAGAGAAGGAAAACATAAGATTTCAGGCGATTTTTCGTTAGAATTTTGAAATACCCTAGTCTTAACATGAATTTTGAGATGGCCTTGTTTTAAAAATAAAATTAAAATACCCTTGTTTTATTACGAAACGTCCGTATGAGTTAATTACAAGAAGGAAGAAGTATCCGCTCCAAGGAAAACCAAAACTGTTTCACTTCATCAACAATTGGATAGGGGAGGGTGGGGTAAAACGGACACTTCAGACTTTTTGTTAATTATTCATAACTCGGAAACAAATTGCTCAATTGAGCTCAGTTTAGACTCGTCACAAGGGGGAAGAATTGTTCTTTGTATTGAAAAAAAAATTATTAAATTTTAAAAAAAGTCCGTTTTACCGCAACCTCCCCTAAGATTATAACAACAAAAATCTAAAGTTTCGATTTAGCCCCCTCGGCCCCTATAACAATCCATTCCCTAATTAAAATGCCCCCCAAATTCCCGAAACTCAACAAAGTCCTTCCTCCCGCCGAGACCCCAGACTCCAAGCACCTTGAATTTCCAAAAACCCATCAACCCCCGCCCGGCGAAAAAACCGTTCGCCGGTCCCTCCATCCCGAGACCCGCTGAAAACAGAGGAGAAAAAACCCCAGGATACTCGAAAAACAGTCGGCCGTTGGTGCCCAATAAAGGAGGAAGGGAACCACCTGCCGCAAGGGATCGTAGGGGCAGATAGTCCCTTCGCCTTCTTTCCACCCCTCTTCATACTTCACCAAACAATTTTCTACGACAGGCGCGCAGTCTCGCTCTCTCCCCACCACCGTCTGTCGAGAAAACGGCTATCCCTCGTGCCCCTTCCCCCGCTATTCCTTCTTTTCACGGCACGCATTCCCCTCTACAACTGCACGTTGCTGCACGGAGAAAAAAAAATACATAAATGAGGGAGTGAGCGAGAGGGAGAAGAAGAGGAAGGAAAAAAGAATCGGGAACTGGCGCACAGAGGGGGGGTTAGACTGGTGCTACGCGTCGGGACGCTCAGTTGCCGTGCGACCGTTGAGAGGCGCGCTAGCTTTCCATTCAATCTCTGTGCGTCGCACTTCACCAAATGCGCAACTGAAATAACATTTCGCGCCAAAGTGTGAATTTTACTTTTGTCCAACGGAAAATTGCCCGCGGAATGGGGGCGATCTAGAGATCCATTGCAGGAACTTTTATGGATACTCTGGAGTTTTAGTTTTTAATTGTGATGTTGTGCATTCGTGCAGAATGAGGAGGCGATCCCGACAGACGGGAATTTCTGGTTATTTTATGAGTGATTTCTACTGAGTGGATCAGGATTTTTTCATGTGCCAATTTTTTACTCTGGATGCAGCGGCTGGATTAATATTTTTTTCGCGCCTCTGGGGAGATATTCAGTGTTAATTTCAAGTGTTTATTCGCCATTGAGTGGTGAAAGGTGAATTGGAGAAGAGTTGGCATGATCGTGGTGAATATTTTGTTTTGAGTTTTTGTGGTGTTTGCGGGAGAGTTTTCCAGTTTGGAGAGCTGACGAATTGGGGAAATTCTGGGTGTTATTGCGACGGATACTTTCACGGTTTTTGTGGATTTTTAGTTTATTTCACGTGGATGAGGAGATATCTGGCGAGTTTGGGAGAATGGATACGATACGGATGGATAGGATCATGAGATACCTGTGGATTAGCGCGGCGGTTTGCTCGCTTTGTGGTGAGTAGATTCACCTGAAGAATTGGGGATATGTGAATTCATTGCACGTTTGGTATTCGAGGGCAGCGGGGAATGAATGTTTTTGTGGTGTTGGACTGACGATTTTGAGAGATGAATTATTTTTGGTCTGGAGTATTTTGAAGAACAGGTTAACATTCAGAACACCTGATATTTTTATGGCGCAGGAGAATGTTGACTTGATATAAATTAGGGAAACGGGTCAACTGATTTTGTTGAAGGTCGTAAAGTGGGATTTAACGTAAATGTCAGGATTTAGTTCTAAATATTAAGAAATTAATAAATGGGAAATCATTGCACGTTTGAGACATCAAGAATTTCTCTGTTTTACATTCAGGGGAGTGATATATTCTTCATTCGGAAATAAGTTGAATTGATGATTTTGAAACCATTTTGGTTTTTTTCCCGAAACTCGTCAAAACTTTGGAGAAAATATGAGCTTAACATTCAGAAAACCTGAAATTTTTATGGCACAGGAGAATGTTAACTTGAAATGAGTAATAAAAAAATATTAAAAAACTTGAAATGAATCAGGAAAACGAACAATTAATTTTGTTGAAAGTCGTAAAGTGCGATTTAACGACGACAATGTCAGGATTCATTGCACTTCTGCGATTCAATAAAAGCGAGAGATGAATAATATTTGATTCAAGACTATTTATTGATCTACTAGCGATCTCTCTGTTCTCGATTCAAGGGAGTAATATTTTTCATTCGAACATGAGTAATTCTCTAATTCTTGATTCGAGATCTGTTCATTCACCTTCCGCAAACTCTTCAATATTTATGAGAAAACACTACTTTAACATACAGAGAACCTGAAATTTTCCATTGCACAGGAGAATGTTAACTTGAAATAACTTGAAATAAATCAGTAAAACAGGTCAGTTGTTTCTGTTACAGTTTGTAAAGTGTGATTTAACCAAAACATATGGGTTCAGTTTCAAGTATTCGAAAATAAATGGGAATTCATTGCACATTTGGTATTTAATGACATACAGAACAAAATTGTATTGTCAAATTGCTAAATTGTTATTTTTGACACAGGGATGTTGATTCTTGAATTAAGAATCTCTCTATTCTCGATTCACAATTTGTCAATTTATTCGCCGAAACTCTTCAAAATTTCTGAGAAAACACCACTTCAACATTCAGAAAACCTGAAATTTCCATCGCACAGAAGAATCTCAACTTAAAATAAATCATAAAAACAAGTCAATCAATTCCGTTGTAAATCATAAAGTGCGATTTAACCAAAATGTCAGGATTCAGTTTCAATTATTAGGAAATAAATGGAAATTCATTGAGCGTTTGATATTACAGTTTTCTGTTATGACATACAGAAAAAAATTGTATTGCTAAATTGCTCGATTCGCGATTTTTCAATTTACTCGCCGAAACTCTTCAAAACTTCAGAGAAAACACCTCTTCAACACCTAGAAAACCTGAAATTTCCACAGCACAGAAGAACCGTGACTTGAAATAAATCATAAAAACAGGTCAATTAATTCCGTTGTAAATCATAAAGTGCGATTTAACCAAAATGTCAGGATTCAGCTTCAATTATTAGGAAATAAATGGAAATTCATTGCACGTTTGATATTTGATGACATACAGAAAAAAATAGTATTGCTAAATTGCTCGATTCGTGATTTTTCAATTTATCCGCCGAAACTCTTCAAAACTTCAGAGAAAACACCACTTCAACACCCAGAAAATCTCAAATTTTCACAGCACAGAAGAACCTTGACTTGAAATAAATCATAAAAACAGATCAATTAATTCCGTTGTAAATCATAAAGTGCGATTTAACCAAAATGTCAGGATTCAGTTTCAATTATTAGGAAATAAATGGAAATTCATTGAGCGTTTGATATTACAGTTTTCTGTTATGACATACAGAAAAAAATTGTATTGCTAAATTGCTCGATTCGCGATTTTTCAATTTACTCGCCGAAACTCTTCAAAACTTCAGAGAAAACACCTCTTCAACACCTAGAAAACCTGAAATTTCCACAGCACAGAAGAACCGTGACTTGAAATAAATCATAAAAACAGGTCAATTAATTCCGTTGTAAATCATAAAGTGTGATTTAACCAAAATGTCAGGATTCAGTTTCAAATCCCTTGCCAAATCCGTTCAAAATCCGTCTCTCCACAACAAACAAAACCGTTGAAATACGACTCGCGATTTCGCGATCCAATTAACCGTCTCCTCTCGCCAAATGAGGTCGTATATTGGAAATCTCAAAATTCGCGATTTCATCCCGACTCCGCTACCCCGATGATACCTTCCAGTTGTGGCTCCAGAGTAAATGTTATCAGTCTCACCACACTGTGCAAATATATTCCGTCCTCGCATAATTGCGCAATTAACGTGACAGCGGATTGAGCATCTGCCGCGGTGCAAACTTCTCTGCTGATGCACACCTATTTCGATGCTCCAATATCAGTGCTTGAAACAATAATTCAGCGGAACGTTGCTCTTTTTCTATTTAAGAGACAATTGTGTTCGTCAATTCAATCAGAGTTCGTGAAAGTTTCACATGTGCTAGTTATCATTGGGTTTATTCGAACGATCGCTCGACGATTCCCTTTAATTCTCATTTTTATCGTCGCTGACGGCAATCCTAGCGCCATCTAGCGGTTCGTCCTGAATATACTTCAGATTTTCAATCCCTAAATTCTTTAATTCAATTTCGGTGGAGAAAACGGAGAGATTCATCGATCATTTGCATTATCAAAATTATATTTCGCAACAGATGAGTTTTTTCAAAAGTCTATATTTTATGAACAAATGGATGGAAATAGTTCACACCGTTAGAGATAGAAACGTTCTAAATGTGAATTTTATCACGAAATCTAAAAAATTATGTGCAATATATTGATTATTTTATGGAATTTCTGCAAAAGGAGTTTTCCAAATTTTTCAGTTTTTCATTTTTTGGAAATACAGGTGAAGTTCAAAGCGATTTGAAATTCAAGAATTTATTCAGTTGAATTTTCTTCATTTTTACCCACTTTCACGGAATAATTGAACTGAAATTTACAGTTTCTCGTGATTATCGAAATTTTCAAAATTGTTTCGCTTCTGCATATGAATTTTTCGCGAAAGGACTTTTTAAAGTTTTTCCAGCGGTTTAGAATAGAAACTGAAGTTCAGACTCAAAAAATTGATATTTTTCATTCTAACGCCGAAATTCCCTATTAAACATGAATACTCAGCTAAATCTTTTATCAATTGAAAATCCACGACTCCCTTGAATTTTCCTCATTTTCCCTAGAAAATAATCATAAAGGAACTGAAAGGTCTGAATTTAAATCGAGATATTAAACCGTTACCATTTTGAACATATGAAAACAAAATGAGAAAGTTTATCTCGTGTGGGCAGATTGATGAAATGATTAAAAAGTTGTAATTTTTGAAAATTACGAGCAGTTTCTACAAATCATTTATAAACAATCGATCTTTCACGAACAATCATTTGTTCAGAATCATAACAAATTTACTCATATTCAGAATTTTACCAATTTCAATTATTCATTCATAAGCAACGAATGTTTAAAAAATGATAATCCTGTGCACACCGTAATTTTAATAACGCTGAATATTCATGATTTATCAAATTCCTTTCACGCCATTCAATTGACAAATTTGATGATTGAAAATGGTTGCATGACCCACCGATAGAAAGGATGAATTATTGCTAACAAATGGATTTATTCATTCGTTAACTATTACCTATTATTCATTCGTTAACTATTGGATATATTCACCTCTACCATCCGTTAATAATTACAACAATCAACGAATCTCGTGAATAAATGAATCAGTCCATCAGTGCAGTGCGGTCTGCGTCAAACTGTAAAAGATACCTGGCTACCCTCAAATATCTTCATCACATAAGCCTAATGTCGCAGAAAGTTGGACGTAAATAAGTCGAGCCCCCGATAAATCACGCACTCACCCCACAACACCCCATTAAACCTGAATCATCATAATCATACAATACGAAGTAACCGCACATAAGTGATAGTTTGCCAACTCTCAACAGTAAAACCCGGACTGCATACCATTTATTCGATTCCCTCTGATTACACACCGACACAAAACAATTGGGTAAAATCGTGTGTTAAGTAGAGAGTGAAAATCGATTGAAACTGCTCAGGAGGTGGGGTTGGGGCATTAAATCAAGGTCGTGAAAGTAACTGGAGGATATGTGCCGATGTGGTTAAAGTGAGAGAGATATTTTAGACACAGTAACACACACGATTCAACCAAAAGGGTTATTGTCTGGCTACGTGTAACTAGCGTTACTCACGTATATGCTCTATTCACCCAATCTCTCAGGCTATTGAGAGAAACGGAGAATGGAGCATTCGACAAACTGTGCTTCGGGGGTGGACGTGTAACGAGAGAAATCCGGAATTGCTGCAACCGAAAACTCCTGGCGCG